AACCGGTCAGCTTGACCAACTTGATTGAAAAAATCTACATATACGTAAAATTAAATAAACTGATTGACTAGAACCCAAAACGTCTTGTTTTAATCACTCGCTAAAAGCCCATCGCATAATCTTTAAACCGTCGTTTGATTTCGTCGACACGCGAAGAAGAAGACGACGACGCAGAGATGGGGAAAGCTTCCGGCACGAAACAGGCGACTGTGGTGGTCGCAGCTTTGGCTTTTGGTTGGTTAGCTATAGAGATCGCTTTCAAGCCTTTTCTCGACAAACTCCGTTCCTCAATCGACAAATCCGATCCGGCCAAAGATCCTGATGACGCCGACGCCGCCGCTGCTGCTGCTGAGACTTCCTCCGACTAGGGTATGTAAATTAGGGTTTTATTGGATCAAACAGAGTTGCTGATTTTTAAGCTGTTCCAAATTTCGTGTATTGGTGAATGAATCCGTGGGTTTATAATTGGTGATTATCTTTGAATCTATTGTTCAATTGCATATCGAGAAGCCTTTGATCTAACCAGGCTTATGATGAGTGCTCTGAGTATTCATAGTTAATATAGCTAGTAGAGTTTACACGTTCTGTTATAATTACACAGTTTAGAAAGAGAAACAAAAATGTTTGGTTATACTTTCAAGCTGAATTATCAAGAAGAGACTAGGAATTAATGAACTTCTTTGTTTGAGGTATCTTCAATAGAAGCATATTGATTCATCTTGAAGAAAATACTATCAAAACATTACAATTACAAAGATTACTTGAGATGATAAACTCTATAGAGACATATGAGACTTGAGTAATAAGGATCTTGACCATAACTTTGAAGTCTCCTTTTAAGTCAAGAGGATTTTAACTTTGTGAGACCTATAGCTACAAGTGTCTAGTACAGAACATAAACCTTTTTTTTTTTTTTTGGTTTGTCTTAACATCATTGTACTCAATAGAGATGTCTATGTTACCTTCAAAAGCTTTGATTTTCATTTTGTACTCTGTTTGTCCTATACCGATCCCAAACAACGATAAAAAGACAGTGATGGAGCTTTCACTGTTTCTTCTTGATTGTTTTAAACAAAATTTATGATGATTTAAACAAAATTTATGATGATAAAAGAAAGGAGGAGACTTGAGACGACTCGGTCATGTAACAAAAGCACATGAGGAGCATCAAGAAAGTATATCCCTCTCTAATGGAGACTTAGTTAGAACTTGACTTCATTATTTGAGGTATGATGGTATAATCTTTCTTCCAAAAGAAGGATGTTTGATAATTCTTACCATCTTTCTTCCAAAACAAGGATGTTTGATAATTCTACATTGATCATCATTGTTAGGTTTTGATAATTTTCATAAGATTGGGGATTCAGATGATTCTCCCTGTTTATGCAAGAGTTTTCAATACATGTTTAAGTCTAAATCATCAGGTTTATCTTCCAATGCCTCAAGTTGCTAATTTGCCCCCACTTTATACGCTAGTCCCACACAAAGCCCAAACAGTGATAAAAAGATGAAATGCACCTTTCACTGTTTTTTTTTTTCAATTGAAATCAGAATCTATATCTGCAGAGAGAGACTGCAACTTAAAAGTCTCCTCTCAAGTCATGGTGAGTCTTAACTTTGTAATACTTACTTATATGGGCCAGATTGAATGATTAACATCTTAAGCTAAAAGCTAATACCAACAAACTTCAATGTCCCAGTCATCTATACAGTATACACGGGCCAGATTCTATATATACATAAGTCTTAAACCATTCAGGTTAATTACATGGGATTATAATGATTAAAGAAACTAATGAGATAGACCTTTCATTGCAACAGGAAAAAGTAAAAGACGTTAAAAAAAAAAAAGAGCAGTAAAAGGGTAACAAATTTATTATGATTA